TGTAATAAATAATGGTTTTTGAATTCTTGAAAAAGGTTTACATTTTTATGAATTTTATGGATGTTACATCTTGGTTACTCTTCAATAAATATTTGCAAGCCATTTACAAATATTAGATTAACATTTAAGTACCAAGTACCTAAGTGTTATATGAAAAGTGTGAGTTCTATCTAATAGATACAAGAAGTACTAGTCTCTTCCAGACTTTCTTTCCAAATAAGAGGAGTAAATCCTCTTCCAGTGTCCAGTTTCTTCACAAAAGAAACACGATCCATCTATGTGGGCTTTAGTAGATTTCTTGGGCTTAAAGGTGTTCAGTCCATAAAAATAGGCCTCCTGGATCACACTAGGTGACCATTTAGCCTTGCATTATTCCAATGTTTAAACTGACTTTATATAAAATATCACTATATTTATTGGAATATTGCTTGACCTGACATATCATCAGATATATGTTTAATTTATCCAAGACTTCCTAGAAGTCATGAATAACTATTCCTAGCTTGATGTTAGAAGCATCTTTAGCATCACAGTGATGCCTTTACTAGGTATGATGTTCAGGTTCATTGCTCAAAGCAAATAGTTTAGGACTAGGACCTTTAAGTGTATACAATTTCATATCTCTTACGAGATTGTCTCTTAAGAAATGAACCCATTCATTGAAGTTGTATCTACTGAATGTTATTGTTTCATTTTAAAGAAAATGACATTTCATGATAATGAGAATGGATCATTTAACTACAAAAATTTAACAAAATTCATTTAGTATTTTCAATATTTAATCTTTAATAATTAATACACTTTTAGTTTCCAAAAACATTAATTATCAAAGTATAGGATCCAAGTTGCAAAACAAATAAATGGTTAGGTATCCTTTATCCCATCCATTTGAATTCAACCCGGTAGATATCGATTATCAATTATATATTGCTATATAATTCCTAGATTTATGGTATCTCTAATAACAAATTTAATTAGACATGTTTGATCTCATCTATGCCTCAGAACTCTCTTGCTTAGGTATCCTTTATCACAAAAGATTTTCGATCAAATCATCCAACTTGAAAAACTTGTGTGATCGGCCTATAACTTGGTTGTAGAAATCGCGAAGACACCCCCGCCATCAAAAGACAACACTAAGCGGTTATGTATCCTTTATCCCACTAGTGCATACAAGAGATGTGCGGGTGTTTTTCAAAAGGATTGCATGGATTTGAGGTTTGTAAAATAAGGGTATTTATATGTTTTATAATTCTAGTTTAAAAACATATGATATCATGGTTATTACATGCATATAATAAACCATGGTATCAATTTTTCAAAAGAAAATCACTTTTAAGAGTTCTATATAAAAAACTAGTTTTTATATAATTTGACGCAATTCAATTTTAATAACCGGTATTAATTTTGAGTGCATTTGAACCTTTTATATCTTTAATAAAACTTCATTTTATTTCTTATATATATAGAGTTTGTATAAGTTACAAAAATCACAATTTTAAACTTATAATGGAGTATTTCAAAATTTACCGTTATTAACTATTTTATAAAAGTTGGTTTTATTTTTAAAATAATAAGTTGTTACCTCTTATGTCCAATTTTGAAAACCCAAACTCCATGTGATGTTTATTTTGTCCAAAATTATTTTAGCATGTGAAAAACTAATTTATCAACCACACATAATAATTGCATAAAATAAACAACATAAACATGCATAAAAAGATATGTGCATAAACATAACCAACTAATGACATTTTTTGTGAGCCAACATAAAAGATGCCAAGTCCATTCCTAAAGGGACATTTAAGGGGACCAAAAATCTTATTGTAATTTTGTTGTAGAATCTCCCACTTGAGTAACATCCATTGCTTGCAAAAGATTTGAAGGGCTTCTTTAAAGGAAAAATTTCAGCTTTCATGACACCTTTCAGAAAGTGTCATCTTTCTGTTCAGCACATGTTCAGCACATGTTCAGCACATGTGTAGCATTCATGACACTTTTTAGAAAGTGTCATCTTTCTGCCCAGCACATGTAAAACTCGAAATTTTGCATTTTGTCTTCAAAAAATGGCTCCAACTTCATTTCTTGTTACATCTTTGTATAAATAAATTATTTCTAAAAACTAATCTATCACTTTACAAAAATAAACAAGAAAACTAATATATTTAATTATTACATACCATATGAATAATTAAATTATTACAACCATTTTTATAATAAAAACAACAAACACAACCACACAACAATCATAATGGTCCTTGGCTAGTTTATACACATAATACACATCAATATACATATAAAACAACCTTTGTTTTTCTAAGACAACTTTTAAATGACAAAAGATGCATGAAACTTTCAGGGTCCAAGACCTTAAAATATGGTTTGGGTCTGACTAGAGTACGCCATGTGTAATTCTTGTATGTCGTGTGTACTCCAAAGAACATTCGCGACCACTTGGCTTAGTACGCCCAGGGTACGCCAAGGTACGCCCCGTGTACTGACCTTCACCTTAGTACGCGATGCGTACACCTTTGTACGCCCCGCGTACCCGGTAAAACCCTAAATTCACCAAACTTCCGAAGGCCATAACTTCTTCGTTATTAGTCCGTTTCCAACGATCCTTATATTCAAGAAAAGGCAACGAGAAGCTCTACGCTTCTATTAACTCATACTTGCCTTAAAACTTCCCGAACTAAAATCCAATTTCCATAAAAACCCGAACTGACACTTTACCGAAATACCCATTGACTCCAAAACACAAACCAAACTCCCGGATCATCCAAATTACATTACCCACACCCAAATGGGTCTAAATCTATTTTCCTCAAAGTCCCTAAGCATGATCATATTCAGTCTTCGGGTCCACCACCCCGTATTAGGAAACGATTCGGAACAGGGTGTTACATGGGGCCAAATTGTTTTGGTCAAAAATCAATTGAGTGAATATCAACCAAATTGAATGAGATGTTGTGGTATTGTAGGTAAAGTGATTATTGAAATTAGAACAAGATTGCACAAGTGATTTACAAGGAAATCTCTTGATCATTGCTAGGATTTTCGACATAAAACATTGGGAGGTGATAATGATCACCTGCCTTGTTTGTTTGTATTAATTGAAAGATGGATTACATAAATGAAAGTGTGTACACGAGTAACTAAATTTTATGATCGGTCTAAATTTTAGGAGTTATTTATGAGTAACTAAATTTAAATAAGACTTTATTTTCAGTCTAAAAATCCATGTAATTCACGAGATAATTTGTATTACGAGTTTTATTTGTTTCCATGTATCTCATGTTGTACTCAAAGTATTAAAAGATGATTGTTGACATGTAAGAATCATTTGAAGGATAATTGGAATGAAGTTTTTTTTTGTTTTTTTTTTTATTATTTTTACTTCTTAGAAATGATGTTTTCATAATTCTTATTTGTTTGATATGGTTTAAGTTGATATTAATTTGGTAATACCTGAGTTTATTTATAATTGTACAAAATGTTTTTGTTTGAGATCATTTTTTTAAAACATGACTTGATGTCATTACTATTTTTACAACCATAGCACTAAAACATTAAACAAAAAGTAAGGTGTTACACAACCATTTCCCTCTCTCACATATTTCTATATTTCTCTCACTGTTGCCCTTAAAACAATGATCTGATTGCTTATGGACCACCGATGTTCGGACAACTGATGCGTAGAGAATCGAGGTCCGAGATCTCAGATTGAGACGAACAAAGAGGTGAATGGTTGAAAAAAAACCCTAATTTCCCTCAATTTCTCAATGCTAATAAACTTAGGGTTTTGCTTGTAACTTGATTTTCATCGAAACCCTATGAGAATCCACTCGATGATCATTATCCACTTAAATCAATAAAAAAAGATATACTGCAACCAAGTCAACGAGGATCGAAATTTCTACAACATGGTTATACTCGATGCTGAAATTGATGGTTTTTTTTTTGAATAAATCCAATTGATTAGAAAACTTTTGCTAGAGTAGAGTTTTTATGGTGAATGGACAGTGATGCCATGTTACAGACATGGCATGTGAAGTCCCGTTATAAAGATAAACGATAAGAACATTCTCAAACTACAAATGATTTTGTTTACGTGACTCTTATATTGCATCTTTGTGGCTCTTTGATTACATATCTTCTTTAAATACTTATTAGAAAAATTAGGTGGAAACAAATAAATCATAAAAATAAGGTGGTGTTTGTTTTTCTGGAAATAAAAAAATTGAGCACTTATGTTTGTGGATGAGAAGACATTTATGTATGTGTGTTCTTACATACTGTTTGTTTTTTTTAGAAGATCCCAGATGTTAAAATGCCGGCAATTAGGTGGAAACAAATAAATCATAAAAATAAGGTGGTGTTTGTTTTTCTGGAAATAAAAAAATTGAGCACTTATGTTTGTGGATGAGAAGACATTTATGTATGTGTGTTCTTACATATTGTTTGTTTTTTTTAGAAGACCCCAGATGTTAAAATGCCGGCACGTCCTCTCCTCCAAAAAAATATGGATCAAAGTATACAAGCAGAAAAACATTTCTTGCACATTGCAAACGTTTGGTCTAGTTCTTCTGCAAATGTGGTCCGCAACATGCATACCTTTTACCTCTTAAAAATCAAACAACACCTAAGATAAACACAAAATGGTCATTTCACTTCTGACGTAGACAAAATGCGAAACAACATAAAAGTTAAAAGACCATCCGAATGGAAAAAAATGTTAAAGACGAAACACGTACTTCATATCATTCATGTATTTTATTCTAGATTTTTTAAGCTTCGATATATTTAATGAATGTTTTTCCATTCGATATATAAAATTGCGATATTAATAACAACTACCACGAAATATCCTCTCCCCGGCGGCAAATATACACCGCCGAGTGCCGACCCACTCTAAAACAGGATACATATATAAACCAAGGTCTCTTATCCAACAAGCCTCTATTTCTCTCTAACTGTAATAGATCCTTTAATTTACATTTATGGACTTCCACCGATTCTACGAAACATGGTACGAGCAGCTCCACCACCAAATCCACCACCTCACCAAATTCCCCCGTCTACCCACCACCGATGACGACCACCACCAGCTCACCCAAGTCGTCAATAAAACCATGTCCCACTTCTCCGAGTTCTACCGAGTCAAGTCCCTCGCCGCTAATCAAGACGTCCTCTCCATCTTCTCCGCCCGTTGGTCCACCACTCTCGAACGCTCTCTCCACTGGATCGCCGGATGGCGCCCCACCACCGCTTTTCACCTTATCTACACCGAATCCAGCATACTTTTTGAGTCTCGCATACTCGACATCCTCCATGGCATTCGCACCGGTGACCTCGGCGATCTCTCACCGGCGCAGTTTACCCGTGTCAGTGAGCTTCAGTGTGAGACTGTTCAACAAGAGAACGCCATCACCGATCAGCTCTCGGAGTGGCAGGCATGCAAAATCTTTTGCTTTTCTCTTCATTTTTGTTCAAAAAAGGTTATCGTTTGTGATGATTATTCATGAATTAACTATTGAAATTTTCTTGATTGTTGGGATTATAGCAGGATGAGGCAAGTGAGCTAATAGGCGGGTCGTGTGGGGATCTTGATAAGAAGATCGGAAGGCTGGTTCAGATCGTGGAGAAGGCGGACGAACTACGGCTGCGGACATTGAAGGCGGTGGTGGAGCTTCTGACGCCACAGCAAGCGGTGGAGTTTTTGATCGCGGCTGCGCAGTTGCATTTTGGGATCCATAGATGGGGTTTGAATCATGACCGTGAACGTGCTGGGAAATGAGGTATGGTTTTTTTGGTGTAATCATGGATGGTTATCCTCCGGCAACCACCGTAGCCACCATAATAGGCCCGCTGCAACCCTTTTTGCATTACTAGTTAATTCATTTTCGTTGTATTGTTTCTTCAGTAGAAGAGTATCCTAATCCATCCGAATATTTCGCGTTATAAAAATCGACATTTTTGTCATACGTTTATGATTCTCTATAAATTAATCGCAGAAAAAAATAGACAATGTAAGATGATAGTTGTCATTGATGTTCCTGGGTTTGTTAGGGATGATGGGTGTGGTCATACGAGCTGGTGGCAATTTCAAAGATCTGTGTATCCATGCAGAACGACACGTGTCATGTATCACGACCCACGTGTCTAATATTTTTGAATATGATACCCAATTGCTTCGGATTGAAGGTGGCTTCTCCTTTTTTAAGAAACTAGACAAAGCTTCCCTGATAGTCGTGTGTGATTTTAAAAATGCAGCACATTTAAGACAACATCGGAAAACGCTACATCATTGGTTTTGTGGGTTGATAAAACAATATTTAATGCCATTTCTGCAATTTGTTTGTAGGTGAAAATAAAAATAATGTAAAAATAAATTAGATTAGCCATTTAAAAAAACAAAAAAACAAATGCGACTTCACATCCCCCTAGTCGCCGCGCCTCCCTCCCTCATCACCATCTTCTCTTCATCATATTCACACCACCTCAAATTCATACATAAACTAATTCCAAATGATATGCTGAATAAGTTTCAACTAATCAGTTACAAAATTACAAACAAACAAAAACACACATAGAGATGGATATATTAATAAGGTGTATTTACAAGTTTCTTGCTCTATAATTGTTCATTTACTAGTTCTATAAAACGGGTAAAGTACCAGGCATGTCTCAGTTAGTACTCATATTTTGTTTCCCCTTCGACTATAAAAGATATTGAATTTATTTTTATGTTTTAATGATTGGTTATTGTCCAAGTGTAGGTCAAGTAACATTTCCATGTGTTACATTTGTGTCTGTGAGCTTAGAAAGGATATGGGCTGATGTTGGGGCTAATTTTATTTGTGGGCTCCTACAAGAATTGGGTGACATGTTACGTTTATATACTATATTAATATTAGAAATAGTGCATTTTGTATGCCACAATACTTTGTATACTTTGACAGTTATGGTCTCTTTGTGTATACTTTGACAATTTTGGTCTTTGGCCTATACTTTGACAATTTTGGTCCCTTTGTGTATACTTTTAATATTTGCCACTTTAAATCCCTTTGACTAACTTCGCCTTCATTTTGTCCATTTTTTTCGTCTTACTACTTATTTTTCATTACGGATTTACCACATGTGTTTTAATAATTCTCACTTTTAATCCTTTTAACCATTTAAACCTTCCTTTTGTCCCTTTTCCAGCTACCGATTAGTGCTTTTGTTTTGGGCTTCGTTTTGTCATCGTTTTCTCATCTGACCATTTTGACCTTCATTTTCTCCCTTTTCCGTCTACCAATTTGTGCTTCCGGTTTGGGCTTTTTTTTCATCGTTTTCTCATCGTCATCTTTTGTGAATAAAACAAGACACATTTTAGTAATATCGGGTTCAATAAACGTACAAGAACAGCCACAAGGGTGACTCGTGGTTCACCACGGCCTCACCCACTAGTTATATCTTAAAGCTCATAGTAGAGGGATCAAATGCGTAAGAGGTCAATGTTTAAAGGGGGCAGCTCAGTTTTGGAATACTTGAAGAACTGTAATATCCATAAAATTCATGAAAAATTTTAAACTTTAAAAAACAACCCACAAAAACATCATTGTTTATAATCTAGTTTTCAAAACATATTTAATATCAGAGTTTTCCCAAAATCATGAATCAAAACACGAGGAGGTGCACGATCACGCATTCACCTTCCCGCGATCATCTGAGGTACCTGAAACATAACCAAAAACTGTAAGATAATGCTTAGTAAGCTTTCCCCCAAAGTACCAACACACACAAACATATAACAGTAACAAACAGCATGCATACAGAGCCTTCAGCATGACTGGACCACCTTATAGGCATTCAGCCTATCTGGACTGCTCTTCGGGCCTTCGGACAGACTGGACCGCCTCGCAGGGCCTACAGTCTATCCGGTCCGCCCAGGGTGTCTTGGCCTTCAGCACAAAGCATGACCGCCTCAACCCAACAAACCATGACATGTCAACATACACATATTTAATAAACATTTAACCAACATCAAACAAACAAACAAATTCACAGATCACAATCGCATACTAACACCTTAACTACCAGGGTACAGATCTAACAGACCACTACAGTACACTTCATACGATAATCTAGGATAACAATCCAAAGGTTCGGCATTGGTGCCTTCGAGCCGAAAGTACAGTGAGGAAAACTCACCTCGCAGCTGAACAGATTTGATGAGGCCCGACTCCGAATCTCAGCTCTCTACACAATACCTAAATCCACCAAGTGACAAATTCCATCAAAAATCCAAAATACCCAAAATGTCCTCAAAGTCAAACTTGGTCAAACTTTGTTAAACTCAAAGTCAACTGGTCAAACCCACTAAACCAACTGAGTCAACCCAGCCGAGTCAACTCAACCAAGTCAACTCAACAAGGGCTGACTCATGCGAGTACGCGGGGCGTAACCCAGAGGTACGTTAAGCGTACGCGAAGCTCGCATTGACCAGCTTATGGAGTGGTTGACCGAGTACATGGGGCGTACTTCCTCCTACGCGGGGCATAACCTCGTAACCTCGTAAACCCCAAAACTCCATTAAGGGTTTAATGGCTTAAGCACTCAAGCCCATACTTCAGATCTATGGTCCAAATGCACCCTAGAGTCATAAAGTCTCCAAATTTATGACTTTACACGTCCAAAAAGTCCTTAACACAAGGTCTTAATCCATTAAGACCTTCTACAAGATGCATGGGGGCAATTCTAGCCATTGGGACCTCATTTTTATGGCTTATGACCCTTCCTAGGGTCTGGAAGGACAGCTCAAAATGGCAATAACCAAACATGCACAAAATGGGACCTTTGGGACAAGAAAAGCAACATAAAACTCCAAAAAATGGGATCTAACAACCAAGAGATCAAGGTATAGACTTTATACCTTCTGGAGTTTCACACAAGGGCAAAGATCTCAGATCCACAAGCTTGCTTCCACTTCAAGGCTTCTTGATGCAACCTCTTCTTCCTTTAACACACCAAAAACACTCTTGAGCTCAAAACACACACTAAGGGGATAGGGTTTTGCAAAAACGTCTCAAAGGATGTGGAAGCAAAAAAGGTGGAGAGAAATAAGCCATAAGGATGCTTAAATACCACCCAAACCCTAAAACTTAGGGTTTCCTCTTGGCACTAGTACGCCCAGCGTACTAGGGCGCGCCCTCACACGCTCACCGTACCAGGGCGCGCCCTAGTACACTCAGCGTACCCTCATGTACGCTTAGTGTACTCCTGCCCAAAATTACAATATTGCAACTAGGGCTTCAAGGCACCTTCTCTTGGATTTAGGGACCAAAATGTCATATAATAAAATTATAGGGATGAATTTAGAAGTGCCTGAACCTCGGGGTGTTACAATTCTCCCCCACTTCAACTAGATTTCGTCCTCGAAGTCTGTTGTGGTGAACAAATCTAGATAATGCTCCTGCATCTCAGCCTCCGGCTCCTAGGTCCACTCGGAGCCCCTCCGGTGCTGCCACCATACCTTTACCAAAGGTACTTCCTTGCTACGCAAAACCTTTACCTTCCTTTCCAGGATAGCCACCGGCCTCTCAACATAGTTCAGGCGCTTATCAACATGAATATCATCCAAGGAAACCACTGCATCCTCATCCAATATTGTGACAACCGTCAATTTTTGGTCAAGTCAAAGTCAGCTAAAGTCAACAAGTCAAACCGGTCAACTAATCTAACCCTTGTATATTAAGGTTTCTGTTATGCTTCTTATTGTACAACTCGCAAATCTTAATACAAAGTATCACTTAGAGTTTTCACGTGTTCGGAAATTCTAAACCCTAATCAGGGCAAGTGATGAAACTACTCGATAAAACATTATTTCTTAACCCTCGGGGGCATATATCAATCATAACGAGACTTAACGGGATGTATAAACCTTGCGTTACGAAGCCAAACACTCAAAAAGGTCGCAAACAAAATCTCTTCCAAATCTCTCTCCGTGTGAGAAATCTCTCCAAGTATGTGAAATCTCTCCCAAATCTCTCTCCGTGTGAGAAATCTCTCCAAGTGTGTGAAATCTCTCCCAAATCTCTCTCCGTGTAAGAAATCTCTCCAAGTGTGTGAAATCTCTCTCAAAATCTCTTTTAACTTTTTATAATCTTTCGGGTCATCCCGACACTTAACCGGGTCAAAAACCGCTCGAAACGGGAAGATTTCTTGAAAAATAGCCTTAAGGAACCGAAACCTTCTCTTAAGGGGTGAAGCCTCTCGGTCCAAACAAAGAAGGACCGAAACCGAACTGCTGAGGACCGAACCCTGCGAACCGAACCCGAACGCTCTGACCCGAACCCGAAAGCCGACATCGTTACATATGTGGACAGAAAAGATGTATCTGGACCTTAGGAAACAATATTGGTGGCCGAACATGAAAGCCGACATCGCTACATATATGGACAGTATTTGACTTGTGCCAAGGTCAAGGTAGAATAACAGAAGCCTTCGTGTTTCCTACAACAACCAGTGACACCCGAAAGGAAGTGGGAGCGGCTAACCATGGACTTCATAACCAAGTTACCCAAGACATTGGGTGGTCTCGATGCCATTGGATAATCGTCGACAGACTGGCCAAATTCGCGCACTTTCTACCAATCAAAGAAACCGACATGATGGAGAAATTGACTAGGACGTACATCAAAGAGACTATACGACCGCATGGTGTGTCAATATCCATTATCTCTGTCAGAAATAGGAGATTCATTTCGCGATGCGGGAAACCCTTGCAGGGACTAGGTTCGACTTGAGTATGGT